GGGTTGGTATTTGAACTTATTTTGTTAAAATTATAAATTGTATGAATCAAAATACTATAGTCTTTTATGGATCATTATAAGCTGCGATATGTGATCTTTTTGCGTATTGTTTGTTCTGGCGTGTTTCAATAATATATAGTATGCAGTAATTATTGTCAACAGGTAAATAGTTGTATAATATTTTTTGTCGCTATGTGTTTGTTTCGTCGTAGTTTAAATAATATATATATTACAGTAAATTATTGTCCACAGGTAAAATAGTTGTATATATGGTTAAATAGGTAGATGTATGCATGCTGTGTATTTTTTTTGTAAAACGCGCAACTTCACGGAGGTTGAACTCCCCGTGAAGTTTCAGTGCAATTTCCCAGAGAGCGATCCTCTGGAAATTGGCCGTAACTCCCACGGGGAGTTCAACCTCCCGTGGAGCGTTTTTAACAACAGAAGAAACCCACGGGAGTTGAACTCCCGTGGAGTTTAATGATGGTTTTAAATTTCACGGGAGTTGAACTCCCGTGAAGTTTAAAAACGTACTAAACTTCACGGGAGTTGAACTCCCGTGTAGTTTCGTAAGTTTTTTTAGAGAAACCGACCTGGTTTCAGCGACAGTGCTGAAACCAGGTCGGTTTCTCTAAATAAAACCCAAACGGGTCTTTTTTTGCAATTAAAAGAGGAAATAGGTTGGTTTTGAAAATTTGTCCTAAAGTTGCTATTACTATTGATTTTTAATTTATGTAATTGCTAACGATTATTTCTTTATGCCTTTAAACTGTTGTAAAAAGCGGGAAAAAGCACCGCTATAGCGCCGCGGATCGCGGTTGCGGGGTTGTCCGCGCCGCTCAGGGTGATTGCGGCGTGTTTAGGCGGAAAAAACCGCTTTTAGCTCGAAAATCGCCGAAAAGCGCATGTTAGCGCTGAAAAAGCGCTTAAAGGTGCTAAATCCCGCTACGGAACCCGACCCGAACCCGACCCGTACCCAATTTACATAAACCCCTCTCACCGCTGTTTCCCAAACCCACCTGTGCCCTAGCCGCTTCTCTCCCAAGCGACGACTTCCACCGGCGACGACTTCCACCGCCGTCAACGCCACCTCCGGGCTCCGATCAACGCTCCTGAACCAGCAGCACCTTTGATCAAGCCATCTTTCTCTCTCTCCAGTCAAGCCCTTCTCTTTCACGGTCCTCCGGTGACGAAGTCTAGCGCCATCAACACCGCCTCCGATCATCGCCGCATCCCGCACCAGCAACACCTCTGGAATCCGGTGAAGCCCATCTTTCTCTCTCTCTCTTTAGGGCTTTGAATTATCTCTCGTTCCTGATCTTGTAATCTAACGGAGATTTGTGTTTTCTTTCCTTTTCTTTTTCTTATTTCTTTTTGGAGTTGGATGCAGCCTATTGAACTAGATATCCAGAATTTTCAATCTCTTTTTTTTAATATTTGACAGATGTTAGTTAATTTACTCATTGCGATAAAATAAATCAGATAGAGCTCGCACAAAGGTCAAAATGGGGAAATGTTATTCTTAAAATTTTGTTTAATTTTGTAAGTAGAAGGGAGAACTCATGCACATGGTTATGAACCTAGCCAACTTAACTTTTTGAGTTTTGTCTTTTTTTAGTTTCAGTTGCAAATAACGCATCTTACTATCCCCAGTCCTTCTCTCCCCAGTCCTTCTCTACATTGACTTCATAATGAACTCTTAACGTCATGGTTACAAGTATAATTAGTTTCTGTTCTCTTGCTTTAACTTTCTTCAAGTTCTGAAGAGGTGAAAATATTTTGTCTCATCTGGCATGCACTTGCATTTCTAGGCCTTTAAACATTTTAACTCTGAAAAAATATAAAGATGATGTTACTAATCAATGCTTTTTTATTGTTGAGCATTTTTATATTAGAGACTTGAAAGTTGAAGAAATGGGACAAATAACGGTCTTTTGGATAAACAGGTACGTTTTTTCATTCTTTAATCTTTATAATTATAGCACTTTGTTAATATTATGTAATTATTACACATCTATTTCATTTTTCATTCTTTAATCTTTATAATTATAGCACTTTGTTAATATTATGTAATTATTACACATCTATTTCATGTTTAGGTATCAAGTATGCATTTGTAGAAATTTAAAAATTTTTATATGATTTTTCTTATTATTTAGCATATTTAAATATATTTATATTTGACCGTTATTTGACTGTGCGCTATTTGCCGCTATTTCGCCGCAATAGCGCGCAATAGCCTTAGCGGTACCTCTCCGCGACGCGACGCGATCCGCTATCAACAACGTATTTCCTCTCCTCTCTTTCCTCTCACCCCTTTTCCTACATTCCCTATTATTTTTCGGAAGAAGAATAATTCTGAAGGTAATTTATTTATTTGTTTATTTTTCATAAATTTAGGGTTTTAGGTAAATAGTATGTCTTTCATGATCTCAAAGACATGATCTTTCGATTTTCATTCAATTGATCTCATAGTGGTGCAGCGTTAGAGTTTTGTCCTCAAGGTCTGATCTTTTAGCCTCTTACCGGTCTCATTGAAAATTTTGCGTTTTTTTATTATTTATGGGCATTTATTTATTTTTGTCTTGGATAATAGTTTTGTTTATTTTTACTTAACTGGAAAGATGCTAAATTTTTTCATCTTTTATTGCATATATATATATTTATACACACACACACACTTAGTAACTGTGTTTTTAGCTTTTATTACATGTTAATTGATTAACTGATTCCTGTGGTATATTTGCATAGTAATCCTTGATACATAGACATGCAAATGCCAGACTTCTTCTGAACCCGTTGCTTTCTGGTACCTGGATTTTGAAATTAGGGCTAATGTAGTTTTTTCCAGATATTTGTTCATAATACACTTTTTCCTTGAAATTTTGGTTAGATTTCTGTGTATTCAAATTTATCAAATTTATTATTTATATTGAATTTTGAGGTGATTTTTGTTGTCTAGATTTGAAGCAGTTTTGATTATTCAGAAATTGTTCTATACATTAAAGGTAAATTTCATTAATTCTGAATTACTTAAATTTTGTATCCTTATTTCCCTTTGACTATCTGGTAATTTATTTATTTCGATTTTAATGTAAGCCACAATCATATCTTGTTCAAATTTCACTCAAATTTACTCAAACTGGGAAAAATGTTACATCTAAATGTTATGACATGCAGTTAAGCTAATATGTTGTCGAGCATCCGTCATAAAACATGAAGTGTTTTTTTTATTTTGTTTGTGTTTTGTTTTGTTCTTTATAGTGGCTTTTGACCTGTAATAATTGATTGTATGGATTTATTGTATATTGTTGCAAGTTATGTTTCTTTGTTTAGGCATCAAATGCTTCCTCAATGAATGATTGCTAGCCAATTTATCACAAATGAATTGTTTAATGTAGGATGTTGTTGCCTTCATTTACATATTTGTGTAATAAATGCAGAATTGCAGGAGAATAAAGGAAAAAGAAACTCTTTGCCTTATCTTTATATAACTTTTTAATAATTTAAAGCATAATGCATTTAAGATGGGTATATTATACTAATTATTCTTTTATGTGGTTAATCCGAATAAAATAGATGTATATGCTTTCATGTGACTAAAAATTTTAAGCAAAAAAAGGGCTACAATAGTTTTCAATATGTTGGTACCCTTTGTGATGTTGAGTTCTTGTTTTGTAGAAAATGTTGTAATTTGAGCAATTTATCAATATGTTGGTACCCTTTGTGATGTTGAGTTCTTGTTTTGTAGAAAATGTTGTAATTTGAGCAATTTAATAGTAAATTAGATCATTTTCATGTTTGGAGTTCTTGTTTTGTAGAAAATGTTGTAATTTGAGCAATTTAATAGTAAATTAGATCATTTTCATGTTTGGATGACTTATCTATTACCTTGGTTGGAACCAATTTGTTTATAATATGATATTTATCTTATTTTTAAATGAATGAAATTTGCTTTTTAAAAAGATTGTTTTCATAACCTTTTTTAGTTTTCAATCAAAAAATGATGATGGTGTACAGTCATTTTAAATGAGTATTTATTAAATCATAATATCAAAATAATAGGTGCGAAACAACACTAATAATAATAAGTTTGCAAATTAACAGGAGATGAAAACACCACCCTAATGAAGGCACTATTCATTCAGATTGCTTTGGTTTCTGCGCTTATGAAGTAGTAGATGTAATGCAAATAATGATGTCATGTTTGTTAATAAATAAACAAAAATAAGCAAGAACTACATAAAAACAAAATGGCAGCATATTTATAATAAAAAAACAAAAAAGAAGCATGAACTATATAAATACGAAATGTCAATATAATTAGAGTTTCTACTCATAAGTCGCACATATTAGTAATATAGATTGCAAATGGAAGCATCACTGGTTGTTATCTCCCAAGGTTCTTTTTTCGTTGAGTATGTTTTGATCCTTTTAAAGTCACGATTCTAGTTGCTAAGATTCATTTCAGCCTAGTGTCTTTCCCTTTTGCTTTGTTACTTCGCTTCCTCTTGTTATCTGCATATAAGAAATATAAGATGTAATGTAATAACTTAATAGTTTTAATACTTTGGCATTGGTTTTGCACTTACGTAAGCATTTGGATTATAATATATTATAATAATTGTAATGAACAATAAGTTGACATTACCTTGCACTTGATGTATTTTAGATGATTGTGCTTTCTGCTCGTTTGATTCTTCATCCATATTTACTATTTTCAACGGTGTTTTGTTGTAAACTTTCTCTGATTTTATATCCAATAATGGTGTATGAAACTTTCTCTGATTTTATATCCAATAATGGTGTATGCATAGGTGTGACTACAAATTTAGCAGATGCTCTTGGTTGCGGAGTCGGTTGAGGCGCATCCTCAAGTAAATTAATGATCGATGCATCTACAGATTCCTATATATATATATATATATATATATATGAAAATTGTTACCTGACTTGTAGAGTTAAATTCAATTGCCCGTGAATTGTCTGAAGTTTCCTCTATTACTTTGTTTATTGTGAAACCTTCATTACCTTCCACGAAATTATATCGCGTTAGTTTTACCTGAACCTTAATACATTTTCCAGATATGGCTTTTATCGCTTCTGGAAAACTTCTCTACCATTAAACTGATCAATGAATAATTATTTGTTAGGCACATATTGAATGTGTTTTAAAATGAGTTTCAAAATACTTTAAGATGAAGATGTACTCAGATATTTTATTGTTCGTGCAACCTCTTGAGCCGGTACTTTCACCAATTTTTCAACTTGTTCATAACAACGAAAGTAGTTTTCGTAGATTCATCTTGAATTTCCATAGTTATCCTATAGTTGTATAATTTTTTTCCAAAACATTGATTATCAAAGTCATTCTGTGTTATGTATTTGTGGTTCATATTGTAAATTTTTACATACCTATTTTTTGCAAATACCTCTGTCACTTTGCGCACCAAAATGTATCTCCCGCATCAATTGTTTTTTTTAAACAATCCGGACTTCCACGATAACGCCATTTTTGGTTATCCATTATAGTATTGATTCTCACATTGCATATATAGAAATATTCCATGAAATTACAAAGATGAATATTAGCTATACAACAGATGATAAGTTTGCATAACTGATAGGCCATCTTTTAAAAGCTTTATTACCTCCGCGGTTTCTAGATCATTGAATAAAATAAGATCGCTCAAAGGTGCAGATGCAAATGGTGCAACATTTGGTCTGATTTTTGGGGGGAAAATATCATTTGATATAATAGGAAAAAGTCATATCGCGCCCAAAAATTGCTAATCACGGTATGTTGTTTTGTGATAACCATATAAAAAATATATTGGTCCACATATCGGTCGATAGATCGGCCATATCGGGGGGATATCGCCCAAAATAGCCAAAAAGAGGTGAATAATATTTAGAGATCATATCGGTTGCGGCAAACCTTGTAAAAGGATATATCAGAGGATATATCGGATCATGTCGGGGATATTTAAAATAATGGGTACAAGTTTCAAAGCCCTATACGATGATGATTTTGACCATTCAGACGGAAATAATATGGTCCTCCACAATTATTGTAAGTATTATCAATATTTCTCCCGAGGATGTAAAAGTAAACATACTATTATAGGATTCGATATTTTCCTTAAATTTATTATTGTCTGCTTCCACCTAGGTATAAAAGTTCTCGAAGAAAACATGGAGGTTCTTTTAAAAGAGGGAACTTTATTTTCCTTTACCACAACAATGAGAGAAAGAAGACTTCTTTGTTTTCCAAGATTTTTCTGCTCATTCCTCATACCACAACATAGGTTGGCAATATTCACATATAACTTTGGGTGGTCCAAAATTTTGTACCTTATTTTGTCAACTGCAATTCAATAAGAATCATTTTAATTAGTACCATTATACATATTCATACAAAATTAAATATTTGAAGAGGTGCAATTCAGTAAAATGTGTGAAATAACATGATTCTTAACAATAAAGTCCTTATGTTTGAAATTGTTATTAACTTCATAGTTCATTTTATTATTAATGGACGGCTTCACCTTCAAAAGAAAGGTTGAAAAATTAATAAAATTAACATTAGAAGAGCATTTATTACCTACTGTACGGTTAATTTAAGTTTGAATTACACGTTTTCTTTCTTGTCTGCTGCTCATTTGTAGCTTCAACGGTTGCATTGATGATAGAACTTATAATTCTTCTGCTTTTATACGAACGTAATTTTTGCCTTCTGTTGTTGCCATTCACTTCATTATCAACAATTATATGATCATGTTGTTTTTCAGGCTCAAGGATGTTATTTTGAGTAGGATAATGTTGATTTCTCTTCTTCCTTTTGATCTTAGTATCAAATCCCTTGGTTTAGAATGCCAAGATCATGCGCACATATGCAACTATAATGTATCAAATTCTCTTATTTGTGTAGTTACCTTGAGATAAACTCTGTTGATTGTCTTCCATGTTTGCTGGAGTTGATAATGAGTCTGCAAACATGTGATTTGTAACATAGTCCTCTTGGCTAAACTGTTTGTTGTATGCTATGGAGCTAACAGAAAATCTTGGCGTTTACTTGGAGGCTTGTATTTGATCTCATTAAATTAACAAGAACTTATTGTTTTATCTCTTTAAATTAACAGAAACTTATTCTGAAGCCCCTGCTGATGCTATTAACAACTCTATATGATTATTTTAGATTGAGGACGAAGATCACTAAAAACTCAAATAACTTGAAAGTATAGTGAAGTTGCTCATCAAAATCTGGTCCCTAATAAGTAATAACCACACCACAAAGTTTTTCATCCGACATAAATATTTTCCCTGTAATTTTGCTACACTTTTTATTCTGCATACGAGTCTTGATTGTTTACTGTACTATGTACCTTATGTAATTTTTCAGGGTTCAATTACTAACATTGTGGCATATTTTCAGAACTATGCATCTGTTAAAAGTGAAGTTGTAATGTAAATGTGCGATCTCGCCTCCTGGAGTGGATGTTTCATTACCTTCTCATCCAAAAGTTTTTCAGTAAGTTTGATTACATTCTTAAAAGACTTGGATTAGTATTTATTTTCGTCCTCTCCTTTCTCTTCTATTTTAAATTCACATCTCTATTTTTTTCTTGTCATTAACCAGGGCCAGTTGCTCTGAAGTGATTTCACAAGGTCACGATGTAGTGTGTTTTAGGTACTTAACTTCCCCTCCACCTCCACTTCCTCTGCTCTGACTTCTTCGACTTCTCCAACTTCTCTTCCCCTCATTTTCCTTCTTGAAAATGGCGTCAAGTCGGGCATGACAAATGGGACCCCATAGGCATCACATGTTCCTCCACCTAGTCTTGAAATTTTAACTCTTTAAGGATTTTATTCTATTAGTTAATGTACCGTTGATTGTGGTAGCCAAATCATCTTATGTTTGTGCATCTATCGGACACTTGTGGTAATACACTTACCTTGAAATGTTTTGGGAGTTAATTCTCTCTTGTAAATAGGGTGAGGTTTTCCTTATTTGTAATTTATTTTCTTTTGTAAATATGAAGAGGTTTGACCAAAAAAATATAGTGAAAGTAGGTGACAGTAGTAGATATACTCCAACTGAGGAAGATATTGAATTCAGGTAACTTGTCAATTAGTAGCAAGGAATGAAAATATCATTGCTAGGAAGTCCTTAACTACAAAGCCTGTGAGCGAGCTACATTCTTTCGGTTTCCTTTTTAAGTCTAGAGGTGTATGCAACCCATAAGATACATTAAGGATGATGTCAGCAAGACATTTGTTAACGTGGCCACTTATAATGTCTTAGCTCATTGTTATGCAGAACCACAAAAATATAAATTTACTGACTTGTGAATTAACAATTAGGTGTGGTGACTGAAAAGTATTTGCACTGAAGTGATTTCACATTGTCAATTAGTATCAAGGAATGAAAAAGTATTTGCACTGAAGTTATTTCACGTAGTCACCATTGTTTTGCAGAACCACAAATATATGAATGGACTGACATGCATATTAACAATTGGGTGTAGCGACTAAAAAGTATTTGCACCGAAGTGATTTCACATGGTCATGATATAGTTTGTTTCAGGATGTAGTCTGTTTTGGACAGATTTATAAAATATTACATCGTGAAATCACTTCAGTGCAAATAGTTTTCAGTCACCACACCCAATTGTTAATCCGCAAATCAGTCCATTTATATTTTTGTGGTTCTGCATATCAATGGTGAACATGTGAAATCACTTTAATGCAAATACTTTTACATTCCTGGCTACTAATTGACAATGTGAAATCACTTCAGTACAGTTACTTTTCAATCGCCACACCCAATTGTTAATCCGCAAGTCGGTCCATTTATATTTTTACGGTTCTGTATAACAATGGGCTAGGACATTATAAGTGGCCACATTAACAAATGTCTTGCCGGCTTCATCCTCAATGCATCTTATGGGTTGCATACACCTTTAGACTTGAAAAAGAATTCGAAAAGGATGTAGCTCACTTACAGACTTTGTAGTTGAGGACTTCCTAGCAAGTATATTTCCATTCCTTGCTACTAATTGACAAGTCACCTGAATTCCTGAATTCGACAGTCAATATCTTCCTCGATTGGAGTATATATACTACCGTCACCTACTTTTATTATGTTTTTTTGGGTCACACCTCTTCCTATTTACAAAAGAACATAAATTGCAAATGAGGAAAAACCTCACCTTATTTAGAAGAGAAAATAAACTCCCTAAACATTTCAAGGTAAGTGCATTACCACAGGTGGCCGATGGATGTACCAAGACAAGATGAGCTGGCTGCCACAATAAGCGGTACGTCAACTAATGGAATAAAGTCTTTGAGAGTCAAAATTTCAAGACTAGGCGGAGGAACATGTGATGCCTGGGGGGTCCATTTGCCATGCCCGACTTGATGCCATTTCCAGGAAAGAAAATGAGGGGAGGGGAAGTCGGAGAAGAAGTCAGAGCAGAGGGGAAGTGGAGGTGGAGCGGAAATGGCGGTCGCCAGTAGAGGCGGAGGGAAAGTGGAGGTCGGCAGGGGAGGAATGTTCAAAATTATCAGGTAATGTTATTGTATTATAGTTTGTTGTAGACTCTTAACTATTTTTGAGCTTCATGCATGACTATTTGTAATTTTTGTTGTTTCTTTTTTTGCAAACTTAAGAAACTTTTACTAACCAATTCTTTTACAAAGAATTCTAGACATACCCCGCTTTGACGATATGCAATTCTTACCTTAACCTCAATGTTGTGTATATCTAAAATGCTCACATATACAACTCTTCAAAGGTGACTAATAAAGCTCAATCAAAACCTTTAAAAAATAGGAAACCAACAGTAATAGAGATTTTAGGCTCAAAGTCTTCAACATTTTTTATGAGGTTTATGTAAACCTCTATCATTCCATACTCCAATTCTCAAATTTAGTGACATTAGTTGAACTACTAGGTCCACCCCTATTATCAACAAGTTCTGACAACTTATTAAACAAATTAGAGTCTTTATCATTGTCAAGCAAATACAAAGTTTCATTAGATATCTTCTAAGCAATATTCTGAGAATGAATAATTCGTGCTGAATGAATGCCCGTGTTCACAAACTTCCTCCTACACTGCTTAACACCATTTATTTCATCAACTGAAGGAACATCACTCAACAATCGAATCCCATTTACTGTCTTGCAATCAACCTCCTTATGGTCTTTTTTTGCCCAACAAGAGCAAAATTTAGGCACTCATTCAAACTCAATTTTTCTGTTAAAAAATGTTTCCACTAGTATCCGTTACTTTAATTTGATCCTTCAGTTCTTTTCCCAAATCCACTTCAACGAGCACTTTAGCATAGGAAATTCAATCTCTATTATCAGTTAACTCATCTGAACAAAGAGGTTTCTTTAAGCTACCAATGATTATACGAACAGTAGTGTCACTCGTAGATGTAAAGACAAATTAGGAAGTCTAATCCATAGAAGCACATAAGTTCTTGAACCTATAACAAAGTCTTCAATGTGAGAGGTTTTAAATTAAAGATTATCATTCCTCTTTCTAGAAGAACCTTTTTCTCAGACTTAGATTAAAATACAAAGATGAAATAGCCACCATCATGTTTCAAAATCATGGAGAACCAATACCTTTCCAATTATCTTTAAAATTACTCGTAGTCCAAAAAGGCACGTTTCAACCAAGCACAAATCTGCTAGCTCCTGCAATATTCAATTTCAAGCTCAACAACGCTAAAGGAATATCAGCACAATCTTCTATAGACAGAATTCTCAATAAATTGTAATTTCATACTCGATGACAATTGTGGTTGTCCACAAACAAATCCTTCAAGATTTCGCTGGCACTTCCTTCAATTTATACTCAGATGTCGCCTCATTAGCCTAAGCTCTTTTAGCTTTAGCATTTCTCTTTGACTTCAAATTAGTACTGCTGCGATATATACCCAATTTAGCTCTAGGACTATGACAATCGTCTACAACCAGGACTTCATTACTACGAATTTGCAATTCCTTAATTCCATCACCCTTTTGAGTCTACAACACCTTGAGATCCTTCACCAATTTCAATGGGAAATTTCTTACAAGATCCAGATCCTCATTGATAGCCAAACCTTAACCAAGAACTTGAGCTTTTCCAACTCTTGTCTTTAATGATGAATCTTTCACCTTCAGCTTTAGATGGAAGATTGGTCCCTTAGCTCTCAGATTTTTAGGTTTACAACCTTGATTTATCCCGTTCTGACAATGAATGAGCAGGGATCGGCGACAACTCTTAAATGCTTTGAGAGCCATTACTCGCCCATCTCTCTATCTCTTTTTAACTATTTTCTCCATAAACAAACTGCTAGTTGTTTATTAAAAGTTGAAACATGCAACCATTTGTTATTTCATTGTCTTATTATTTGTTGATATCTTGACTAATCCTTGAAATGTTATGCTGATTTGACCTTTGATACATGTATTTGATCAAAATTTTATTAACCTTCATTAACATTTCTTTATCTATGTAGATTGATTTCCGAGCCATAGCCACGATGTCACCTTACACACCTTAAGAAGTTTATCTGCTATCAAGGTATGTGAGGAAGTTTGGCTAAACTTTTATTTGATAAAATTTAATATATCTCTCAAACTTACATGCCTTTTGCATTTTATGCAGTCAAATGGAGCTATAATTTTACAGATAGGGTTTGAAGGTATACATCGAAAGATTTTTATTGCCAATATCCATCTAACATCTACGAGCCCAGAAGCTCGAGGTTCACAGGTACTAATTAATATATGTGGTGTTGTTTTGTATTGTTCTAAAAACATCACAAGGCTGGAATCCCCACACCTAATAGTAGAACATTTAGTTCTTACTGACCTGATATCACTATCTGCAGAGTAAAAGAACAATTAGAATAGATGATAAAATAGGTTAATTAATATGAAATCTCCTCCAATTTTAAAAAATATTAGGATTTGACATTATTTCTTTATCATATATCTCTTGGTCGCCATTAAATTTTTAACTGTACGGTTAGCCACATGCTATCCTTTTTTCCTTCCTGCACAAGATTATCGGAAGCTTCCTTGCGCAAAGCTAGAGGTCTCTCTATCTATTTTCCATGTTTCCTACATCATCAAGATTGTAAACCCAAATAGTCTTTCCTTTATCTTTTCTCCTATGGGATTCAAACTAAGTCTTTCTAGTAGCACAATTTTACCTCCGCCAAGTCTTGGGTGTATGCTTTGTAGAAGCGACTTTTACAAGTGAGGACTCTAAACTTGGTTTCAGAGGCGGAGTTATGTGGTATGGGGTGATGTCAAGTGGCATCCGTCATAGATAAAAAATATTAAAGGAGCATATGTTGACTTATAACTGATTATCAAAGCTAGGCGACAACACAAAATCATATGTAGACTTATAACCTCTAATCAGTGCCCTGTGACTTTTGATGAGCTAAACCAAAAGTAAAATAACCTATAACCAATTAACTTAAATAGCCCAATTGACCCATATCAAAGTGCTATAACCATTTTTGGAAGGGCAAAAAATTGCATAAATGGCCTTATTGTGTTGGAAGGCTAAGAAGTCAAATAGTCCTCTCTCTGTCTCTTTCTTGTTCACTCTCTTCCTCAATGTAAAGAAATGAGTATAAAAACTATGAAAGAAGACAAAAAAAAAGAAAAAGAAAAAAGACATATTATTATTTTTTCATTAATATGAGAGTAAAATTAGTAATGCCATCCTCATACATATTATGACACCATTGTTATGAATTCCTAGCTCTGCACACTACTAGTTTTATCTGTTCAGCTAACAAGGAGATAAATAAAGAAATAAAGTCATTTGATTCTTGATAAGCAAATTGGCTTTCACTTTTTGCCATAGAGAAAAGGAACAACATATTCAAATTAATCTCCGCGATTGACCATTGAGTCTTTGACCATGTATCATTTCAGTTGAGGACCAACCGGTTTATATTTGAATCTGAGAATTGAGAATTCTTAGGCTTTCTTGGCCAATGACGTGTACAAGATAACCTATCTTGAGTTTGCTAAACCATTACCATTTTGTAATGGTATATCGATTATTATGCCCAGTGTTCCAAAGGCAAACTGATGGGCATGTGACTCAGCCGGTAGTATATGTATAAGAATTAGCAAACATCCATATACATTTACTTGGAATAAATCAGTGTATACTACACAGGTAGGATCACTTAAAGAACCAGAAATAAAGGCATCCAATATGAGCGTGGAAGAAGAAATAGAAATGTAGATACATCTCAAGTGCAAATACTTGTACATAGTCCCCTAAGTTACCCTGACACTTTGTCTGGGCTCTTGTATCCATGCCTGACATCGACACTCATTAGCCTTAGACACTCCTTAAATATGCATGTGTACTCAATTATATAATGCATGTTTTAGTTTAAACTATCTGTCATACACTTCTTACACATATAGCTCACTCTTCACGTCTACTTCCCACAATTTACAAGATAAGGGTGGGGTTCATATCAGCTCGCACCCAGTCCAAAAGAATGATTTTAAAGTCTCATTTAGACATCAAGTTAAAAAAATGATCGTTTTTCTAATATTAATCTATTTACTAAATGAAACATAAAAATATTAGAGAAATTTTTTCGTAACATGCAAATGAAAGCCATAATCAACCTCATGAAATTTATTAACTTCAATATGTAGATTTGTGGTCGTGTCCTCTTTTTCTACCTTTTCAAATTGTCACATCTTGTATTGGCGGTCACATCTGCTCCTATCACTATTCCCTTGTAATATAGATAGTCTCAAATGGCATAGTGGCCTCAAATACTATATTGTCTGAAATGGAAATAAGGGTATATAACCATATCCCACACGTGAGGATATAATAGCCAAATGGAAAGGTTGATAGGTAGATAGTGGGTACTTCCACATACTATCTCCGTGGATAGCCTGCAGTAGTGAGATCCCTCATGTCCCTCCTGCTAGGTGTCACCAACATATGTATACAGCAAGTACTTCCCCGTATTATCTCTGTAGATAGCCTGCAAAAGAGAGATACTTACGTCCCTCCTGGTAGGTGTCACCAAAGTGTGGTTCTAGACGTAGTTCCCAAAAAAACAGGTCAGTCTAAAAACTGTCTATCAAGCATGTAAAATGAAGGAGGGCGTGCACAATATAATGTGTATCAATGTCAATGATACATCATCGTGAAATCTCCAATGAATCAAATAAGGCATATAAAGTACATTGATGAAATCATGCATACGGAAGCTGTGTGAAATCATCATGTTAACCTTACTAGCAATAGAGAAAAAAACAATAAAGAGATAATCTTGAAAGTAATAAATATGTAAAAGCTATATTGCAACCTAGTCCTTGAGGATGATAAAGATAGTAGTGTTAACTAACGATCCTTCTTTTATCATCTTCTTATAAGGAAAAGATGGAATAGAATGTTTGGTATGTGAGACTCCCTGCAATAAGTGTCATGCCGTGTCCCAAATATATAGGTGAGGTCAAGCATGCTGCAAGTCGGCTGACGCATTGTATTGACATTATCATATATTGATAGGTAGGCGTCCACCTCTATCTACCGATACTAGGCTATGTTTCAATGTAAATTGGCTAGTCAAGCTAGAAGTGTACATAAGGTTATTTACATGGTTATGTTATTAATCAAATACGTAAGATTTGATTGAAAATGCTTTAAACAAAACAGTTGTCTTTTTGAGATTAATCTCCTCTTGTTTCTAGCTCTTGCCTTTATATATCCTAGGGTTTTGGACTATTATAATTAAGCGTTTAAGGCCAACACGTGAGTATTTATAGCAATAAGGTTAAACAAATTCGGGTTATACCTGTTATGGATCATTTAAGGGGTCGAACTTTGAAAGTGCTGAAAATTTCATCAAAAATCACGACTTCAAACTTAAATACTTTTGTAATGAATTTTAGGTCAAAAGAGAGAGAGAGATTTTGAAATCCAAACAAAAACCAAAGAATCAAGTTAATCAGTAACTCAGCGGTAGAAAATGAGTGTTGCATGATATGTGCGATCCAGATGCAAAGGTACTCGATATGGGACTCACATTCGTCCACATAAGAGGCGCCCTTTTTGATGCCATGTTTCTTGGCAAAATGAAAGAACTCCCTAGTAGTGAACTCGCCTTTGTTGTCCGTGTGCAACCTTTTGAGTTTCCTTATAAAAACACCTTTGACGATCTTTTGAATTCTTGAAATTTTGTAGACTTTTTAATTACGATCCTTACAGTATTCCATGCACTAAATGATCATGCCTGTTCAGTTAACTAAAGATGGTAATGTTAGAAACCCAAAAGGCACCTAAGCATTGTCACTGATACTATTCTAATTTTGAAATAATTAGATATTCTTTCTGTGCCGAGAGCTCAAACAGTTGGAAGGATAATGGTTTTTTGAAAGAAGAAGATTGGCTAATTATTTGTGGAGACTTCAATTCAGTTCTAGAAAGGTAATTTTACTTTCAACTTTGTAAATAGTGTAAATGTGCTCATATAAATTAAATATATATTTTTTCCTTAGTTCAATATATAAGGCCATTACTACAAAACTTCTACATCGCATTGTTGATCTCTTCGATCTTCTTTGTCGCTCCAAACTCCCACGCTTGAGTTGCCGCCCTCGCTTGAGTCGCCACCATCGTAAACAATTCATGTAAATTACCCATAAAGTAATCACTTTAAAGATTAAGATCATGGATTTAGGCCCACAATGTATAAACTCGACTATAAACTTAGATAATTCCCTCTAGTGCTAAGTCTAGAATGACAACTCCTATGTGTCTGGTTTTAGTCCGTGCCGTGAATGTCATTTTCCGTTGAAATAAATTTTCACTGTACCTAGATGTCTTTATTAGATTTTTACATTTACTTCAAAAATAATATTTCGATTTTCTATATGGCAGGGGTCAGTTCTTCAGGCACGACTAAGCTAATGGAAAACTTCTGAGGAGAAATTAGATTTGAGGAGCAATTATCACTGAACAAACAGTAACACTTTTTTGTACAGTCCAGATTCTACTAGATATCATACTTGAGGTATTCTGATACACTCCCATACTAGATATCATACTTGAGGTATTCTGATACACCCAGAAATCAGTATTTGATACTTGGGAAATATTTGCTGTGACTGATGACTGCAAATTTTTGCTTAAATCAGGAAGTGACTGATGACTTGTCTGCAATTGCTTGGAATATTATCCGAGTTTGAGTCTATCTAATATATGGCAGTAAATTGTCTTCACATCGTTAAGTCTCGTATGCAACCCTACTGAAGTATTGAGTCTCCATTTTGTTTTTCTGTATTTTTTAAAATGATAGGAGTAGGAATTTTTCATCGCCACTCATTCATGAAGACGGTACTTAATCAAGTTGTCTTAACAGATTGTTGCTGGATCTTTGTTGTGGTCTCTTGTGAAATGAAAATTGTTGCAGGTTTCCGTGGTAATTGGAAGATGAGACTAGAACTTTATTATAAGTAATATTCTTTCTTGCATGTTTTTGCTGCGCAGCCGCAGGCTTGCGCTGCTTGATTTTGATGTGACTTCATCAGTCGAAATCTTAAGCTTTAAACATGCATTTCCCATATTAGACAAGTCCTGCAAATTTGTACCTTTGTGTCTACATTTCAAATACCTTGAAATGCTGTGTTGCTAATTTTTAACATAAACATTAACTGCGATTTTCAACTGCATAAAGACAAATATTTTATAAACTAGTGTGCCCCGTGCGAAGCACGGTCCTCCATTTTTTGTTTCCGCTGCGATAATTATTTCTTAAATGCTACAGTTTTTTGTGAACATAATTTTTTGAAATGCTACAGTTGTTTATTTGTGCTATAGTAATAATACTACAGTGATTCACTATAGCATTTGCTGTATCATGAATAGTGAATCTTTGAATCCTCCTCTAATTATAGAAGAAGAGTAGATACGAAGTCATTTCTCATTCTTTCATTGTTTATGTATGATTATGCAAGAAGTTGGGTTTTATAGATACATAATAATAATTAGCATTCTGTAATTCTTCCATCTTCCTCAATGAGTCATGCTTGGATGATAACCATTGTCGTACATTACAAATTGCCCCCACAATTTTTTATGAACATAGAACAAAGTCGTCGTAATTGAGGACCAAAGTTTGGAAGAAGAAAACTTTTGGATGGTGTGATATGTTCAAGTCAGAAAAATGAAGATAGAATCGTCCAAGCAAGAGCCTTACGCTATCATGTAATCTCGTCAATAAAATGACAATAAGGTAGTAACATCATAGTTACGTGAGTAAATCTAAACGAATGCATATTGTAAAAGGAAGAAAGGGGGTGATTCTGAATCAAAGAGGAGAAAGCTTGATGCTCATTTTAATAAATAATGTAATGATACATATTTATTTATGGTTCCTCTTATTGAAGGAAGAGTACAAAGCTTGATGCTCATTTCCTATAATATTACTTGCTCATCTTTCTCAAAAAAAGTTGCATATTCATCATCAATATCCATTTCTTGCACGCAGAGAAGAAAATGAGGTTGTGAAGTACAAATGAGGGTGTATTGGCAATTTCGCGCTCCAAAGTCCGAAATGCCAAATAACATATCAACTGCATGCTCATGCTTCTCGAAATATAAGCTTTACCTACCTCCATAACCATAAGCCATTAGCATTTAGCCAATTGCAGTTGGATCTACTATCTGCAATCCAAAAATACATCAGTACTTCATACTTATAAAATTTTAGGAAAAAAGGATCTGTAATAGGTTTGTTGTATCAGAGATTCAGAAGGATTGTGGGAACAGCTACAAATAGGCTGGATGTTCAGAGTCGGATTACGTTGACGACCGGGAAACAGAAGGTACCCGCACATTGCACCGTCAATTTGTCTAATTGCATCGTTACTGGGGAAACAACTTTACATCTGATCATCGTCTTATCCATGTCACAAATTGAGTACACTTAAGAAAGCTATTTGGTTGGGAGTTTTTGGTTGGTGATCTCCGAGTACATGGTTTTTTGACAGCGGAAGTGTCATAGATCTAAGTGAAGTTTGGATATGTACCATGAGAAAGACAAATATATTGATATTAGCGGCCAGTTTATCTTGAACTTAAGAGGCTTTAAAGTCAAGAAAGTTGGCATTACAAATAATCAAGGCAACATGTATGTAAAATTTGAGCATTGCTTAAAAATTTGATCGGGATTTACAAAGGTTAATTCCTAAGGGGCTTTGAGGAAAAGAGAAGATGAGATCGTTGTGATTGGACTCTAACCAAATAAAGACGGAAAATGTAGGGTTTGTACCTTTAAGACTCAGTGGTTTTCCTATTGGATGGACGATTAACTGGTCCACTGGTCAATCATACAAGCATTACTCAGAACAAAATGATTTCAACCAAGATACTGCAATGCTCAGGTAGTAAAAATTGGTGCTAAAACAGGATATCCAAACCAGTTGACCAATCGACCATCTGCTTTTACTGCTTTTAGCTGCACCATGATAGTATTGTGTTGGGCGCAGAGTCACGCCCACCGTCGCGGAAGCGATATCACCTGAGAGAAAGCCCTGGCTTTTGTTGTCACAAAAGCACAAGTCAACCTCTAAATTCTTGTTTCTCAAAGGAAACGAGAATAGATAGTAAAATTCTTATTTCTCAAAGGAAACAAGAATCGAAAGTGATATTTTTCATCAAAGTGAAATATACACTCTTCCTCTCATCAGCTCTAAGACCGAATATTGAGGGAACCTACAAGCAATAGCCAACAACCCAGAAAACAGTAAATACACGAGATTTACGTGGTTCGGCAAACTTGCCTACGTCCACGGGAGGGGTGAGGGGAGATTCCACTATGAGAAGAACACCGACGACTTGTACAATCCACAAGCTCGTCTGAAAGAAAAAGATCTAATTTTTACCAAAAAGAAATTAACCTCTCTTTTGTAAATCCCTCAAAAAACTCTCTCCTTTTATCTCTCCTCTAAAGCAGCCGCCAAAAAGAAAAAAGAACATAAAAAATCCTCTGCCCTTTTTTTTCGATTTCTCCCTGCAGACCTTTTTCTTTCTCCAAGCCGCTGTCTTTTCCCCGTTTTGATCCCCTGCGTTTTGATTTCCCACTAAGCCGAAAACCCTAGGGACATTAGGCTTATATAGGAGATTGATGCGGTTATAAGCCTAATAAATTGGCCTTGGCTTTTACCCGCTGGAATTGGGCAAAGCTCCTCATGCACACGTAGAGGTGTGGCCCCCACATAAACACCCCTGTTCACAATTCTCCACCTCGTACATCATTTGATAAAACTCAAATTTTGGACGAACACCAGAAGAACACCGCGAACATCACCAGAGAGATCACCATCAGCCAAACCAGGCCAAACCAGCTGCGCCACTTTACCGTTGCTGCCTACGTACCCTCCATTGGGATCAAGCTAACCGTAGTTCAGGATTTGTTCTCCATATAGTCTCCACCTCACCCCATCACCGCCCCGAAGGGTCATGCCCTCTTGGGCAGATCAACACGGGTTGATATGAAGCAAGTCCAAGCAATGCTTAAATTTGCTACCTGTGACCACCTTGGTCAACATGTCTGCTGGATTCTCATTCGTGTGCACCTTCATGAGAGAAATATCACCTTCCTCTATGACATCCCGCACAAAATGATACCTGACATCAATATGCTTGGTACGAGCATGATGAACTTGATTCTTCGCCAAGTGAATTGCACTCTGACTGTCGCACCACAAACTCACGTTCTCCTGCTCAATCCCCAAATCGTCTAGAATACCCCACAACCACAATGCTTCTTTTACTCCCTCCGCCATGGCCATATACTCAGCCTCTATAGTAGAAAGTGCCACTGTAGCCTGCAACATCGATCGCCAACTAACTGGAGCTCCATGTATTTTGAATACATAACCAGTAGTAGATCGCCGTCTATCTAGATCGCCCGCATAATCAGAGTCAACAAACCCATCAATCTGACATGTATCTCCACCAAAACACAGACCCGTATCTGCGGTACCTTTCAAGTACCTCAGGACCCATTTCACCGCTTCCCAGTGCGCCTTTCCCGGATTCGCCATGAACCTGCTGACCACACTAACCGCTTGTGAAATATCTGGACGTGTACACACCATGACGTACATCAAACTGCCAACTGCACTAGCATAAGGAACACGCTCCATGTGTGTCTTATCTTCCGCTGTAGTGGGAGATTGTTTACCTGAAAGTCTGAAGTGTGGAGGCAATGGAGTCGCCACCGACTTAGCACTTTGCATCCCGAACATCGCGATCACCCGCTCTATATAGCCTTTCTGACTCAAGAACAATCGCTGATTCTCGCGCTCTCTTCTAATCTCCATACCCAGTATTTTTCTAGCAGCGCCCATGTCCTTCATCTCGAACTCTTTACCAAGTTGAGATTTCAACCTATCTATCTCCACCCCGCTCTTAGAAGCAATAAACATGTCATCCACATATAACAGGAGATAGATATAATCACCTCTGCGAAGCTTCCGAATGTAAACACAGCAATCATAGTCGCTTCGGGAAAACCCATGCTTCAGCATGAAGGAGTCAAATCGCTTGTACCACTGCCGAGGAGATTGCTTCAGTCCATAGAGTGACTTCCTCAAGCGACATACATGATGCTCCTTATCCTCAACCTTGTAACCCTCAGGTTGATGCATGTAGATCTCTTCATCCAAGTCTCCGTGCAAGAAAGCTGTTTTAACATCGAGCAATACTCAATAGCCCCCGAATAGAAGTGTGTTTCACCACCGGAGAAAAGATCTCATTGTAATCCACACCCTCTCTTTGTGCAAACCCTTTAGCCACTAGCCTCGCCTTGTACCTTGTACCACCGAGCTCTGAAGGATCTTCCTTTCGCGGCCAACCAACTCTCGCTATCTTTATCCCGAATAGCTTCCTTGAAGGAGACCGGCTCATCTTCCTCCACCGAGAGAGCGTATTCAACCAAATTAACCTGCCCATAGTGCTTCAGGGGTTGATCAGCCCCCAGCTTTTGTACCTGCTTGTATACTCGCTTTGGCCTAGTGGAAGCCAAAGTATCCTCGAGCTGCTGTTGTTGTAGTGCCTGTGTATTCTCTTGCTGAACCTCCTCTTGCTCAAGCTCATCATCTACCTGTTTTTCCACTTGAACATGACTAGAACCTGGTTGGTCTTTAGGTTCTATCTCAATAACCTGAGACTTTGAAGTCCCAACAGTCCCAACACCATCATCCTTGGGCGCCCTAGCAATCATGGATTTTTCATCAAAGGTAACGTCCCTGCTGATCACGAACTTCGAATCTTCTGTACACCAAAGGCAGTAGCCTTTTACGCCCTTTGCATACCCCAAGAATATCGCCTTCTTGGCCCTCGCGTCAAGCTTTCCCTCGTTGACGTGATAATAGGCGGTACATCCGAAAATTCTGAGCCTCTCATAATCTGCATGTTCCCCTGACCACACCCTATAGGGTGTATCACCATCTAGTGTAGAATGTGGAGAACGGTTCACAATGTAACATGCTGTAGCCACCGCTTCTGCCCACCATTCGTTGCCCAATCCAGCATAAGATCGCATACTCATTGCTAGAACCTGGTTGGTCTTTAGGTTCTATCTCAATAACCTGGGACTTTGAAGTCCCAACAGTCCCAACACCATCATCCTTGGGCGCCCTAGCAATCATGGATTTTTCATCAAAGGTAACGTCCCTGCTGATCACGAACTTCGAATCTTCTGTACACCAAAGGTGGTAGCCTTTTACGCCCTTTGAATACCCCAAGAATATCGCCTTCTTGGCCCTTGCGTCAAGCTTTCCCTCGTTGACGTGATAATAGGCGGTACATCCGAAAATTCTGAGCCTCTCATAATCTGCATGTTCCCCTGACCACACCCTATAGGGTGTATCACCATCTAGTGTAGAATGTGGAGAACGGTTCACAATGTAACATGCTGTAGCCACCGCTTCTGCCCACCATTCGTTGCCCAATCCAGCATAAGATCGCATACTCATTGTTGTAAAATTCTTATTTCTCAATGTAACATGCTGTAAAATTCTTATTTCTCAAAAGAAACAAGAATTTAGAGGTTGACTTGTGCTTTTGTGACAACAAAAGCCAGGGCTTTCTCTCAGGTGATATCGCTTCCGCGGCGGTGGGCGTGACTCTGCGCCCAACATATTGTGTCTTATAAAAGCCAAGACTGAGTTTTTATGGACCTCAGAAAAAATTCTAGGGACAGTTTGGTGACTCTTGGTGATTTATTTCGAGTTTTATATGCCACTGAAAAATCTTGAATTTTGGTATTCAGTGTTAAGGGCTTCATAAGTTTATTTTGAGTTTTATACGCCACTAAAAAATCTTGACTTTTGGTATTCAGTGTTTAGGGCTTCATAAGTTTTGTAACACTTTTTTGACACCCTTTGGTATAGAAGATGTCCATCCTTGGTCAATGGGAATAGGTTGTTGTAGTTCCATCATACCATGTCAAATCACCTGCAAGCCTTTGTCATGTCTGCAGTCTCTGATGTTGAATGCCTTCACTTCAGCAGCATTGAGTTTGGCATTGAGTTTGGAGTATTGTTAATTAGCAAGGATTTGAAGATGGCATCAAAGACATCCATGTTTAAAACCCAGATAAACAAGCACATGTAAAGTGCAATTTAAAGAATTCTATGAAAAAGCCATGGTTTAAAAAAATAAATAGAGCATTAACTTACAAGGGTTTCCAAAAGTGCTGGACAAATACCCAATTGGTGCATTATAATTTTAGGAAACGTTGCTAAAATGTTTAATATCTAACCTGTTGTTTCTTGTTTTCTATAGAAGTTGAGTGTACTCTTTTGATTGATGGACAATATACAAGTACAATTATCCACCATTAGTTCCTTGCTTTTCTAACTAAAGTTTATGTTATTCACATTTCATGAAAATTCTTTCAAAGCATGATGATCAGCAAGGGCGTAGCCAAGGTACTCTTGCCCTGGGCAGCTGCCCAGGGCAAGAAAGTGGCCAGCCCTCTACGCTCCAGCTCCTACTTCTCCGCCGGTTGGCAGGCCCTCTACGCTTCCGTCCTCTACAACGGCGTCCTCTACAACGGCGTCTTCGGCCTCCTCTCCATGGGCGCCGCCCTCTTCGTTGTTCTTCCAGCCACAGTGGTGACCTGGATTACCGTCCTCATGTTGCTCGCCTTCGCGTGGAAACCAAGGAGGACGCTGGTGATGGAGGCAGTCTGGCAGTGACGTAGCCTAGTGATTTTTTGCCCAGGGCAAAAAAAATTCCTGACTACGCCACTGATGATCAGCCAAGTAATTAGGGCTCTAGTGGTTATGAATCTGTCAAAGTTCTTCCACTTATAACGCTGGTTTTAGCCGTCTACAAGCCACTTCCATCATTTCTGATGATTAATCTTAAAAAAAGAACCATGATACGACAAATGGTAGTTTCATTTTGCTTCTAAAAGAAGGTTAAGACTTCATTTTATAGGTTTCTGATGTTTATATTCTACTTATTTGAATTTTTTTGAATTAATTTCAGGGGATGAATGATGTGAGATTGATGTTTTGATGGGCTCACTAAAGTCAAAAATCAAGGACTTCAGCATATTTCTCTCTCTATCTTTGGTTAAGATTCTCTATATGAAATTGATTGTAATAGACTTTACCGGTTAAGATCTTCTATATGAAATTGATTATAATAGACTTTGTTGGTTAAGATTTTTTATATGAAATTGATTGTAATAGACTTTGTGACTAGAAATGGATTATACTTTATATTAGGAATATCATGACATTTACTTTAGATTTGTTTTGGTTCTTTCATTGACATTTCTTTCTACAAATGTTATGTGTGAGAAATGTTGTTCTTTAATTAGTGGAATTGTGCTTCTGCTTGTTAATATTTACAAACTCGATGTTGATGACCACTCAAGTTTTCGTATCATCAAATTGCCATTTTTTTTAAATACATGTTTATTAACCTGTTACTTCCCAAGATATGAATAATACTAATTTTGAATAATTATGCTTGAACTGCATCATTGTCTAGAGCTTATTCGGAATCATCTTTCTTCACATGAGGTTATAAATAACTTGCAAGTCAAATACCATGTAAGATTATACGCAAATTAGAGTCATTGTAAATTTGACTAAATTTTTTTGAGTTAAGATTGTGTAAACATGTTCGGTAACTTGTAATTTTTTTGAAAATATGATAGAATCACAATTTAATTTAATTATCTTTTGTAAATTATTTAAAATCTAAATCTAATTCCAAAAAGTATGAATTAAAATTATGTTGTGATAATTTTCTTTCTTTTTTCTCAGAAAAGTAACCAAACAAGAGAAAATGACATTCTTATGAATTTTCTTCTAATTTTCCTTACAAAATTCTTTCTAACTAAACAAAAAAAAAATCATTTTCTTTTCTTTTTTTACTTTCTCTTTCCTGTTCTTTTCTCTCCCTTTCTCTCAGAGCAAACATAGCCTAAAAGCCCCGGTCTCATTCCGCTAAAGTTTCGAGAACGAACAAATTTTCAAAACAGCCCTATTTAATTTTTTAATTTTTAAAATCGACTCATTTTTTTTATTTACCAAAACCAATCCGTTTTTTGCCACGTCAGCCTAATCACTTTCCTAAATAGTCGGGGTTGTCAACCCCGACTATTTAGGACATAAAATTTTAGGGTTTAAGGCTTCTAGTTATGGTTTAACACCCTTCTAAATAGTTGGGGTTGGTAACGCCGACTATTTAGAAAAGTGATTCGACTGACGTGATAAAAAATGGATCGGTTTTGATAAAAAAAATATGTGGAATTTTAAAATTAAACAATAAAATGGGGGTGTTTTGAAAAATTGTTCTTCCAAGAACTATCCACCGCGCTAAAATCATCATAGTTATTTACTAGGTTGCCATTCAATCCCTTTCACTGTCGTCCGTGAGATCTTGTAAAATGGACGATATAGATCAAACCAGGATGTTGATAAATAGCAGAAATTCACCCTCGCCTCGAAACCCTTGCAAGCCCAACTGCCGCTGGAAAACCCTGCCCAACAGCGCCTCTACAACGCGCCGCCTCTCGACGCCTCGCCACCCCTCCCCGCCCGCCATCCTCACGCGCCGCTGCGCGGCAGGTCTTTTCAGGCGGGCCTGGCGAAGGTCTCGCCAGCCGCCCAAGCACAAAAAGCGCGCTGCCTTTAGCCGCCGCACCGTCAGGGCGAAGTCGCCGAGGGGAGGGTGGGAATGAGCAGGCTGAAGAAGCTGGGGAGGCTTGGTGCCGGCGTGCAGGAAGCTGCGGACACACTCTTGATGATGGATAGTATTGGGGGTGATGAAATCGAATTTTGGATTGGGAGGTTTTGGAAAATGAGAAAGGTATTCTATCATCCAGATCCCCCATTTCTATGATTTTCTTTGCTCTTTTTGAGATTTATTAAACTCCGGATGCTATATAATTCTTATAACTGGTGAGATGTTGTTTTTCTTCGCTTCTATTTATTATTTGGTTCCAGATTAGCATCATTTACCATATTAGATGCTACTTTATTGGGTGAGTTATGATAGTTTGTGTTTACTTTTTTGAGCTAAATTTAGGCTTTCTTTACAAATCAGTAATTGTTGCATGCTTTTCACTATAGTTTAATGGATTCATAGTGGAAAGGATTTATATGTGTTTTATTTTGTCGTTGTTAATTTATACTTAGTGTTGATGTGTTCTACATCAAGGTTGAGATGTTACGAGTATTTTTGTTGGCCGAGTCTTTTTGCGTAGTACCGATCAAGTCATCCATATTTGCATATTTACCCCAAAATTCATCCCTCCACTTGAACACTTACTAATAAGATAATAAATTCAAACATTTTTCTCTTTTCTCACATTGTTTGATTGCTAACCCTAATTAAAAAAGATTTTATTTTTTCCATCCTTGTTAGTTGCTTTTAATTCCTAGGGTTGTATTGCATATAATAGTAGGAATTCATCAAAGTGATTTGAGCATCTTGATTTGACACACACTTGAAAATATCTTAAGGGCAAAAATATCTTGAGGGCAAAACTATCTTGATTTGAGCATCTTAATTTTTTCATGTAATTTTTAGATCTAATTTTAATATATATAGGATGATAAGACGGGATGCGTTACAGCGTATAAGAAGTCACTTGGGAATGTTCAAAATTATCAGGTAATGTTATTGTATTATAGTTTGTTGTAGACTCTTAACTATTTTTTGAGCTTCATACATGACTATTTGTAATTTTTGTTGTTTCTTTTTTTACAAACTTAAGAAACTTTAACTACTCAACCAAATCTTTTACAAAGAATTCTAGACATACCCCGCTTTGACGATATGCAACTTTTACCTTAACCTCAATGTTGTGTATATGTGTATATTTAAAATGCTCACATATACAACTCTTCAAAGGAAACTAATAAAGCTCAATCAAAAGTCAAAACCTTTAAAAAATAGGAAACCAACAGTAATAGAGATTTTAGGCACAAAGTCTTCAACATTTTTTTATGAGGTTTATGTAAACCTCTATCATTCCATACTCAAATTCTCAAATTTAGTGACATTATTTGAACTACTGGGTCCACCCCTATTATCAACAAGTTCTGACAACTTATTAAACAAATTAGAGTCTTTATCATTGTCAAGTAAATACGAAGTTTCATTAGATATCATCTAAGCAATATACTGATAATGAATAATTCGTGCTGAATGAATGCCCTTGTTCACAAACTTCCTCCTACGCACTGCTTAACACCATTTATTTCATCAACTGAAGGAACATCACTCAACAATCGAAACCCATTTACCAACAACCTTTGTCTTGCAATCAACCTCCTTATGGTCTTTTTTTTCCAACAAGAGCAAAATTTAGGCACTCATTCAAACTCAATTTTCCTGTTAAAAAAATGTTTCCACTAGTATCCTTTACTTTAATTTGATCCTTTAGTTCTTTTCCCATCCACTTCAACGAGCACTTTAGCATAGGAAATTCAATCTCTTTTATCAGTTAACTCATATGAACAAAGAGGTTTCTCTAAGCTACCAATGATCATACGAACATTAGTGTCACTCCTAGATGTAAAGACAAATTAGGAAGTCTAATCCATAGAAGCACATAAGTTCTTGAACCTATAACAAAGTCTTCAATGTGAAGCTTTAAATTAAAGATTATCATTCCTCTTGACTAATCCTTGAAAAGTTATGCTGATATCACCTTCGATACATGTATTTGATCAAAATTTCATTAACCCTCATTAACATTTCTTTATCTATGTAGATTGATTTCCGAGTCATAGCCACGATGTCACCTTACTCACACACCTTAAGAAGCTTTTCTGCTATCAAGGTATGTGAGGAAGTTTGGCTAAACTTATATTTGATAAAATTTAATATCTCTCTCAAACTTTTATATGCCTTATGCATTTTATGCAGTCAAATGGAGCTATAATTTTACAGATAGGGTTTGAAGATATACATCGAAAGATTTTTATTGCTAATATCCATCTAACATCTACGAGCCCAGAAGCTCGAGGTTCACAGGTACTAATTAATATATGTGTTGTTTTGTATTGTTCTAAAAACATCACAAGGCTGGAATCCCCACACCTAATAGTAGAACATTTGGTTCTTACTGACCTGATATCACTATCTGCGAAGTAAAAGAACAGTTAGAATAGATGACGAAATAGGTTAATTAATATGAAATCTCCTCCAATTTTAAAAAAATATTAGGATTTGACATTATTTCTTTATCATATATCATTAAAATTTTAACTGTACTGTTAGCCACATGCTATCCCTTTTTCTTCCTGCACTCGATTATCGGAAGCTTCCTTGCACAAAGCTAGAGGTCTCTATCTATTTTCCATGTTTCCTACATCATCAAGATTGTAAACCCAATTAGTCTTTCCTTTATCTTTTCTCCTATGGGATTCAAACTAAGTCTTTCTAGTAGCACAATTTTACCTCCGCCAAGTCTTGGGTGTATGCTTTGTAGAAGCGACTTTTACAAGTGAGGACTCTAAACTTGGTTTCAGAGGCGGAGTTATGTGGTATGGGGTGATGTCAAGTGGCATCCGTCATAGATAAAAAATATTAAAGGAGCATATGTTGACTTATAACTGATTATCAAAGCTAGGCGACACCACAAAATCATATGTAGACTTATAACCTCTAATCAGTGCCCTGTGACTTTTGATGAGCTAAACCAAAAGTAAAATAACCTATAACCAATTAACTTAAATAGCCCAATTGACCCATATCAAAGTGCTATAACCATTTTTGGAAGGGCAAAAAATTGCATAAATGGCCTTATTGTGTTGGAAGGCTAAGAAGTCAAATAGTCCTCTCTCTGTCTCTTTCTTGTTCACTCTCTTCCTCAATGTAAAGAAATGAGGATAAAAACTATGAAAGAAGACAAAAAAAAAAGAAAAAGAAAAAAGACATATTATTATTTTTTCATTAATATGAGAGTAAAATTAGTAATGCCATCCTCATACATATTATGACACCATTGTTATGAATTCCTAGCTCTGCACACTACTAGTTTTATCTGTTCAGCTAACAAGGAGATAAATAAAGAAATAAAGTCATTTGATTCTTGATAAGCAAATTGGCTTTCACTTTTTGCCATAGAGAAAAGGAACAACATATTCAAATTAATCTCCGCGATTGACCATTGAGTCTTTGACCATGGCCATCCTCATACATATTATGACACCATTGTTATGAATTCCTAGCTCTGCACACTACTAGTTTTATCTGTTCAGCTAACAAGGAGATAAATAAAGAAATAAAGTCATTTGATTCTTGATAAGCAAATTGGCTTTCACTTTTTGCCATAGAGAAAAGGAACAACATATTCAAATTAATCTCCGCGATTGACCATTGAGTCTTTGACCATGTATCATTTCAGTTGAGGACCAACCGGTTTATATTTGAATCTGAGAATTGAGAATTCTTAGGCTTTCTTGGCCAATGACGTGTACAAGATAACCTATCTTGAGTTTGCTAAACCATTACCATTTTGTAATGGTATATCGATTATTATGCCCAGTGTTCCAAAGGCAAACTGATGGGCATGTGACTCAGCCGGTAGTATATGTATAAGAATTAGCAAACATCCATATACATTTACTTGGAATAAATCAGTGTATACTACACAGGTAGGATCACTTAAAGAACCAGAAATAAAGGCATCCAATATGAGCGTGGAAGAAGAAATAGAAATGTAGATACATCTCAAGTGCAAATACTTGTACATAGTCCCCTAAGTTACCCTGACACTTTGTCTGGGCTCTTGTATCCATGCCTGACATCGACACTCATTAGCCTTAGACACTCCTTAAATATGCATGTGTACTCAATTATATAATGCATGTTTTAGTTTAAACTATCTGTCATACACTTCTTACACATATAGCTCACTCTTCACGTCTACTTCCCACAATTTACAAGATAAGGGTGGGGTTCATATCAGCTCGCACCCAGTCCAAAAGAATGATTTTAAAGTCTCATTTAGACATCAAGTTAAAAAAATGATCGTTTTTCTAATATTAATCTATTTACTAAATGAAACATAAAAATATTAGAGAAATTTTTTCGTAACATGCAAATGAAAGCCATAATCAACCTCATGAAATTTATTAACTTCAATATGTAGATTTGTGGTCGTGTCCTCTTTTTCTACCTTTTCAAATTGTCACATCTTGTATTGGCGGTCACATCTGCTCCTATCACTATTCCCTTGTAATATAGATAGTCTCAAATGGCATAGTGGCCTCAAATACTATATTGTCTGAAATGGAAATAAGGGTATTTGCAACCTAGTCCTTGAGGATGATAAAGATAGTAGTGTTAACTAACGATCCTTCTTTTATCATCTTCTTATAAGGAAAAGATGGAATAGAATGTTTGGTATGTGAGACTCCCTGCAATAAGTGTCATGCCGTGTCCCAAATATATAGGTGAGGTCAAGCATGCTGCAAGTCGGCTGACGCATTGTATTGACATTATCATATATTGATAGGTAGGCGTCCACCTCTATCTACCGATACTAGGCTATGTTTCAATGTAAATTGGCTAGTCAAGCTAGAAGTGTACATAAGGTTATTTACATGGTTATGTTATTAATCAAATACGTAAGATTTGATTGAAAATGCTTTAAACAAAACAGTTGTCTTTTTGAGATTAATCTCCTCTTGTTTCTAGCTCTTGCCTTTATATATCCTAGGGTTTTGGACTATTATAATTAAGCGTTTAAGGCCAACACGTGAGTATTTATAGCAATAAGGTTAAACAAATTCGGGTTATACCTGTTATGGATCATTTAAGGGGTCGAACTTTGAAAGTGCTGAAAATTTCATCAAAAATCACGACTTCAAACTTAAATACTTTTGTAATGAATTTTAGGTCAAAAGAGAGAGAGATTTTGAAATCCAAACAAAAACCAAAGAATCAAGTTAATCAGTAACTCAGCGGTAGAAAATGAGTGTTGCATGATATGTGCGATCCAGATGCAAAGGTACTCGATATGGGACTCACATTCGTCCACATAAGAGGCGCCCTTTTTGATGCCATGTTTCTTGGCAAAATGAAAGAACTCCCTAGTAGTGAACTCGCCTTTGTTGTCCGTGTGCAACCTTTTGAGTTTCCTTATAAAAACACCTTTGACGATCTTTTGAATTCTTGAAATTTTGTAGACTTTTTAATTACGATCCTTACAGTATTCCATGCACTAAATGATCATGCCTGTTCAGTTAACTAAAGATGGTAATGTTAGAAACCCAAAAGGCACCTAAGCATTGTCACTGATACTATTCTAATTTTGAAATAATTAGATATTCTTTCTGTGCCGAGAGCTCAAACAGTTGGAAGGATAATGGTTTTTTGAAAGAAGAAGATTGGCTAATTATTTGTGGAGACTTCAATTCAGTTCTAGAAAGGTAATTTTACTTTCAACTTTGTAAATAGTGTAAATGTGCTCATATAAATTAAATATATATTTTTTCCTTAGTTCAATATATAAGGCCATTACTACAAAACTTCTACATCGCATTGTTGATCTCTTCGATCTTCTTTGTCGCTCCAAACTTGGTTTCGGAGGCGGAATTATGTGGTATGGGGTGATGTCAAGTGGCACCGTCATAGATAAAAAATATTAAAGGAGCATATGTTGACTTATAACTGATTATCAAAGCTAGGTGACACCACAAAATAATATGTAGACTTATAACCTCTAATCATTGCCCATTGACTTTTGATGAGCTAAACGAAAGAAAGTAAAATAACCTAGAACCAGTTAACTTAAGTAGCACAATTGACCACATATCAAAGTGCTATAACCATTTTTGGAAGGGCAAAAAATTGCATAAATGGCCTTATTGTGTTGGAAGGCTGAGAAATCAAATAGTTCTCTCTCTGTCTCCTTCTTGTTCACTCTCTTCCTCAAAGTAAAGAAATGAGGATAAAAACTATGAAAGAAGACGAAAAAAGAAAAAGAAAAAAAGACAGATATTTTTTTTTCCATTAATATGAGAGTAAAATTAGTAATGTCATCCTTATACATATTATGACACCATTGTTATGAATTCCTAGCTCTGCACACTACTAGTTTTTATCTGTTCAGCTAACAAGGAGATAAATAAAGAAATAAGGTCATTTGATTCTTGACAAGCAAATTGGCTTTCACTTTTTGCCATAGAGAAAAGGAACAACATATTCAAATTAATCTCCGCGATTGACCATTGAGTCTTTGACCATGTATCATTTCAGTTGACGACCAACCGGTTTATATTTGAATCTAAGAATTGAGAATTCTTAGGCTTTCTTGGCCAATGACGTGTACAAGATAACATATCTTGAGTTTGCTAAACCATTTTGTAATGGTATATCGATTATCATACCCAATGTTCCAAAAGCAAACTGATGGGCATGTGACTCAGCCGGTAGTATATGTATAAGAATTAGCAAACATCTATATACATTTACTTGGAATAAATCAGTGTATACTACACATGTAGGATCACTTAAAGAACCAGAAATAAAGGCATCCAATATGAGCGTGGAAGAAGAAATAGAAATGTAGATACATCTCAAGTGCAAATACTTGTACATAGTCCCCTAAGTTACCCTGACACTTTGTCTGGGCTCTTGTATCCATGCCTGACATCGACACTCATTAGCCTTAGACACTCCTTAAATATGCATGTGTACTCAATTATATAATGCATGTTTAGTTTAAAATATCTGTCATACACTTCTTACACATATAGCTCACTCTTCACGTCTACTTCCCACAATTCACAAGATAAGGGTGGGGTTTGTATCAGCTCGCACCCAGTCCAAAAGAATGATTTTAAAGGCTCATTTAGACATCAAGTTAAAAAAATGATCGTTTTTCTAATTTTAATCTATTTAGTAAATGAAACATAAAAATATTAGAGAAATTTTTTCGTAACATGCAAATGAAAGCCAAAATCAACCTCATGAAATTTATTAACTTCAATATGTAGATTTGTGGTCGTGTCCTCTTTTTCTACCTTTTCAAATTGTCGCATCTTGTATTGGCGGCCACATCTGCTCCTATAACTATTCCCTTGTAACATAGATAGTCTCAAATGGCATAGTGGCCTCAAATACTATATTGTCTGAAATGGAAATAAGGGTATTTAACCATATCCCACACGCCAGGATATAATAGCCAAATGGAAAGGTTGATAGGTAGATAGTGGGTACTTCCACATACTATCTCCGTGGATAGCCTGCAGTAGGAGATCCCTCATGTCCCTCCTGCTAGGTGTCACCAACATATGTAGACTGCAAGTACTTCACCGTACTATCTCTGTAGATAGCCTGCAAAAGAGAGATACTTACGTCCCTCCTGGTAGGTGTCACCAAAGTGTGGTTCTAGACGTAGTTCCGAAAAAAATAGGCCAGTCTAAAAACTGTCTATCAAGCATGTAAAATGAAGATGGGCGTGCACAATATAATGTGTATCAATGTCAATGATACATCATCGTGAAATCTCCAATGAATCAAATAAGGCATATAAAGTACATTGATGAAATCATGCATACAGAAGCTATGTGAAATCATCATGTTAACCTTACTAGCAATAGAGAAAAAAACAATAAAGATATAATCTCGAAATTAATAAATATGTAAAAGCTATATTGCAACCTAGTCCTTGAGGATGATAAAGATAGTAGTGTTATCCTTCTTTTATCATCTTCTCATAAGGAAAAGATGGAATAGAATGTTTGGTATGTGAGACTCCCTGCAATAAGTGTCATGCCCTGTGTCCCAAATATATAGGTGAGGTCGAGCATGCTGCAAGTCGGCTGACGCATTCTATTGATATTATCATATAATGATAGGTAGGCGTCCACCTCTATCTACCGATACTAGGCTATGTTTCAATGTAAATTGGCTAGTCAAGCTAGAAGTGTACATAAGGTTATTTACATGGTTATGCTATTAATCAAATACGTAAGATTTGATTGAAAATGCTTTAAAAAAAACAGTTGTCTTTCTGAGATTAATCTCCTCTTGCTTCTAGCTCTTGCCTTTATCCTAGGGGTTTGGACTATTATAATTAAGGGTTTAAGGCCAACACGTGGGTATTTATAGCAATAAGGTTAAGCAAATTCGAGTTAGACTTGTTATGGATCAGTTAAGGGGTCGTACTTGGAAAGTGCTGAAAATTTCGTCAAAAATCATGACTTTAAACTTAAATACTTTTGTAATGAATTTTAGGTCAAAAGAAAGATGGATTTTGAAATCCAAACAAAAACCAAGGAATCAAGTTAATCAGTAACTCAACGGTAGAAAATGAGTGCTGCATGATATGCGATCCACATGCAAAGGTACTCGATATGGGACTCACATCCGTCCACATAAGAGGCGCCCTTTTTGATGCCAGTTTCTTGGCAAAATGAAAGACCTCCCTAGTAGTGAACTCGCCTTTGTTGTCCGTGTGCAACCTTTTGAGTTTCCTTATAAAAACTCCTTTGACGATCTTTTGAATTCTTGAAATTTAGAGAAGACTTTTTAATTATGATCCTTACAGTATTCAATGCACTAAATGATCATGACTGTTCAGTTAACTAAAGATGGTAATGTTAGAAACCCAAAAAGCACCTAAGCATTGTCACTGATACTATTCTAACTTTGAAATTATTAGATATTCTTTCTGTGCCAAGAGCTCAAACAGTTGAAGGATAATGGTTTTTTGAAAGAAGAAGATGGGCTAATTATTTGTGGAGACTTCAATTCAGTTCCAGAGAGGTAATTTTACTTTTAACTTTGTAAATAGTGTAAATGTGCTCATATAAATTAAATATATTTTGTTTCCTCAGTTCAATATATAAGGCCATGACTACAAAACTTCTACATCTCACTGGAGACTTACATGAGCTCCAAAAGGTGTTCAACAACTTGCAGTATCTTGATTTATCTTTCCTGGCTCTTCCTGACATGGTATTATGTCTCTTTGAAATAGAAAATGTTAGGATATGCTTTTATTACTTTTTCAAATACACATTAGAATCATAATATCTAACTTAGTTATTTCATAATTTTCTAGCGCTCAGCGTATGCTACTGCTTATGAATCCAATTATCCACTTTTTCATTCCTCAATGAGATGAATGTTCTCCTCAACCAAAGAGCCAAAGTTCACGAAATATAATGCGGACGGAAGTGCATCCTACACGTATGACTACATTTTTACTCGGGTATGTATTTAAAATTTCTACTGTATCTCCTTCCTAAGCTCTTGTGATAAATATAAGTTTTATATATTATGCAGTTTATGCCTTGGAAGTTGCTTCAGTGCTAACATTGGTGGGAAACCCCGACATACCATCGCCGCGTGTGCCTTCAGATCACTATGAGTTAGCCGCTTCTTTTGAAGTTAAAACCTAATTAGGTCAGACACAATCTGATACCATTAATCTTGTCTTATTTATGCTTTCATCACTAACAATGTTAAGATGACATGTCAAGTGCTCCTCATGGAACTGACAATGGAATTTTTTTGCCTCTAGTCACTAATATTATATTTAAACATGCTCGCATTACTTTGTCATTAATGAAATTACAAAGTCAGTATACACGCCTACTTAAGCTGAGTGCCAATGCCCTCCAATTGCATCGGTGGATGCTTTGGCACTTAGGCAACTGCTTTTAAGCCATTTCTCTATATTTATATATTCCATTCAAACAACCTTTGAAAAGCAAAATGTCACCACTTTGTAGATGACTATCATTTATGTGATTTAGTTCCATGTTAGCCGCATTTGTTTTTCTTTATAATCATGAAATGATTCTCTAATCATAAGACTATATGTTCTTTCTACTCCTGTTCGGCTATTTAATGTATAAGAGGCAGCTTAGATATAAACACTGTACTCATGACAGTCAATGCTGGGCAATTATTTAACAACGAAAACTTCCAAGAATCTCAGATATTCTGTGTTATTAGGTGTATACTCTGAGTGTCAGTAGGTCTACTCTCCTGTTCGCCGCCTCAAAAAAAAATTTAAACGATTTTACGAGCCAAAAAATTTCAGGTGGTCTATTTGTAAAAAAATAAAACCTCAGGAGGTCTATCCACAATTGGGTGATACTACCGGTGGTCTGCTCGCAATTAAGGCTTACCGGTGGTCTGCTTGCAATTAAGGCTTTCTTATTCTCTTCTGTGTTTTCACCTTTGTGTAGGGCCTCTCCGTTGTTGATGCAACAGGCTATATGGTCTCAGAAAAAAGAAATTTGTTTTGCATCTTTTTCTTTATTAAAGGAATTTGTTCTGCATCTATATAGTTCTCTTTATTCCTAAAAATATATGCCTGAAAAATTCTAGGCTGGCGATAGTCGTCAATTATATAGTTCACACCTCTTAAAAATTGAAATGAAGTTGCAACTAATAGAACTGAGATCTTTTGGTTTTCTCATAAGGACTATGTTTATTGCCACATGTTTTATCCTGATGTGATATATTTTAGAAGGTTGTAATCTTTTATAAAATGAGCAAGAATGATGAAAATTTTATGAAACACATACTATGAGTAAGCCTAATGAGAAGAATTAAATAAGAAAAGGCCATGTGAAAAAGACATTCAGGGCCGGAAGTAGGGTAAAGAGATATTTCATATTGCAATTACAGTATCCCTTGAACTTCTGTACTATGTCAGTCAATCACTCTGCCCAAAGATCAGGACTTGCATGCCAACAATGTATATGCAATCTTAACATTTAACTCTCCTTTAACCATGTACAAATGCATCTACCACAAAGATATTTTGCTTGAACTTTTCTACAAATCAGGTAAATAAATTACTATTTGAATTGTCAAATTCTGAATTATGAGATTCGAACCCAGGAACACTCAAAATTCTGACACCAAATAAATTAAGGGTAAATTATAAGAAATTATCCTAACGTTTGCTAAAGTTGCACGAAAATACCCTAATGTTCATGTCTGTACAAATAAATACCTGAAACTTCTCAAAAGTATTACGTTGATACCCTCTGTTATTTGATCGTTGGAATATACTGGGAATATTCTCTTTTGGTTGCCACATGTTGCTATGGTTATATTTCTATCCCTAAAGTTCATCAAATTCACATCTTCTACCATCTTTCTGTGCCAACCTATTTTTTGGGTAACTTGAGCCCAAATCGATTTCTCTCATCGTTTCTTTCTAATCTCATGGTAGCCAAACATGAAGTCGAGTTCAAATCCTCTATGCTCTCAGCTATGGCCCGTATTCAAACATATTTGTAAACAAATCAAAAACCTTGGTCTCCAAGCACTGTGTAAAGAATTCAAAAAAAAATTCACCAAACACCAAAATTTAAGATTCGTTTTAGCAACAAGCAGCATCACCAAGCACCACAACCTCATTTATGGCCTGTTTGGGAACCATGGTTTCATTTCAAATACAATATTTGGCCTAATTGTATTGTTTGGGTCCAAAAGAATTTGAATTCTGGATATTGGCCGAGATCCAGTAACATTTTAATAGTGTACTGGGCTCATAAATCTAAATCCCAACTTACAGCCCGTCATTTGCAATTCCATCTACCCCTTGCTCTCGCGATCTCTCACGTCGCCACTTCCGCTCTCGCGATCTCTCACCTTCCCCACTTTTGCTCTAAACTAGCGGTGATGACGACGACGAAGAGGAGGAGATCCCGTCTCAACACCGGCGGCGGCGGCGACGACGACGAGCTTCACCTGCAAGCCCTAATTTCACCTCCGGCGACGACGACGACGATCATTGAAAACAGTGAGAAATTCTCGATCATCTTTATCTTTTGTGGATCACGCGAAATTTTTGAACTTGAATTTAGGATAAGGTCAATTGATTGGGGTTATATGAAGCTTCACCAGCAAGCCCTAATTTCACCTCCGGCGACGATGGCGATCATCGAAAACGGTGAGAACTTCCTGATCCTCTTATCTTTTGTGGATCACGTGAAATTTTTGGACTTGAATTTATGATCTGTTTGGGAACCATGATTTCATTTCAAATACAGTATTTGGCTCAATTGTATTGTTTGGGTCCAAAAGAAATTGAATTCTTGATATTGGTCCAAATCCAGTAACATTTTAATAGTGTATTGGGCCCATAAATCTAAATCTCAACTTACATCCCGTCATTTGCAATTCCATCTCCCCCTTGCTCTCGCGATCTCTCACCTCCCTACTTCCGTTCTCGCGATCTCTCACCCTCCCTACTTCTGCTCTTAACTAGTGGTGGCGACGACGATGAGGAGATCCAGTCTCAACGCCGGCGGTGGCGACGACGGCGACGACGACGAGCTTCACCTGCAAGCCCTAATTTCACCTCCGGCGACGACGACGACGATCATTGAAAACAGTGAGAAATTCTCGATCATCTTTATCTTTTGTGGATCACGCGAAATTTTTGAACTTGAATTTAGGATAAGGTCAATTGATTGGGGTTATATGATTTCTAGGTCTTCTATTGTTGTCTTGTGTTGATTTCATTTGGGATTTAGCTGTATAATTGGGTTATTGAGCAGCCAGAGTTTTGAAAATTTAGGGGAAATAGGTCAATTTCAGATTTCGGTTGATTTAGAAGAATTGCATGTTGAAAAAAAAATGGAATTTCACCCTTGTGCATTAAATTCCTAGCAGTTGTAAAGAACGCAAATGTTACTTATTTCTGACATTGGTATAGTTGTTTCTACTGCAATTGGGGATGAAATTGGTAGGAAGGTGATCTCACCTAGTTTTTTTGTTGGTAGCTCTTGTTTGGGCTAAGGAATCAAGGGTTTAGCGTGGGTGATTTTGGTACTTTATATATAGCTATATACACATTGAAGAATTCAGATGTGAAATTTCGAATAAGCTTAACACACTGTTGCATAGAACTCATGTGATTGAATTTGAGTTATAGAATCCTTACTTTTTGTTTCATATTATTATCTTTAGTATTTGATAATTTTCGTTTAGTAATTCTAAATTTGTTATTCTTTTCCTTTACATTTACTCCATGTTACATGATCTGATTCTATCTGTTAGATAAGTATAGTTTTACACATTAAATTTTGATGATGAAACAGTTTAAGAGAAAATGTCAGACCAACAAAGTTTACATGGTCAAAGGAAACATGCTAGGGAAGAAGTAGGTGAAGATGATGGAAAAAGAACCTAGTTATCATAATTGTGACTTTCATAATAATGATAGTTGGAGCATATCGTCACAGAAGGTCTAGCATCAAGGAGATAACATGGAGTGAAGATGTACGTGCTCGTAAAAGAGCTCGGATGGACACATTAATGAATGATACAATATGTCGGGAGTAACTACGTCTTAATAGGCGTTGTTTTGAGAAGCTGCGTGTCATTTTACGATCTAATGGGGGATTGGTGACTTCTAGGAATGTCACGGTGAGAGAAGCTGTGGCATTTTTCCTGCATGTTATTTCTCATAACTTGAAGAATCGAACTGTTAGGGCAATCTTTTTTCGTTTCGGAGAAACTATAAGCCGACAATTTCATACGGTGCGCCGAGCGGTTATGAATATCGGGAAGTATTATATCAAACAAGTAGAATCCCCCACTCGTTATGCGGGAGATAACAAATGGAAATGGTTTGAGGTAATAATAATTTATTTTTTGGATATATAGATTCGTTCGTGCAAATATGTAATCTATATGATGTTATGGAGTTGATTGTTAGGGTGTACTTGGAGCACTTGATGGGACACACATTCAAATGACCGTCCCTCTTGAGGATCGACCTAGATATCGAGATAGAAAGGGTGATATCAGCACAAATGTTCTTGCCGTGTCGAATCCCAATCTCCAATTTACTTATGTTTTACCTGGTTGGGAAGGATCCGCATCTGATCCTCGCATCCTTCGTGATGCTTTGCAGAGGACTAATGGTTTAAAGGTACCAACAAGTAAAGACATTAGCTTGGTGTTTATAGACTTTCCTTTTTTATTTAGTTTTTTCATGTTTAAGCTTAAATGTTTATATTGATGTTGTTGTAGATAAGTATTATCTTGTGGATTTGGGGTTCACCAATAGTCGAGGTTTCTTAGCTCCATATAGAGGCACTCAGTACCATTTGAATTTGTGGCGAGGGAATACTTCAACAAATTATAAGGAGCTCTTCAATTTGCGACATTCATCTGCTCGAAATACTATTGAAAGAGCATTTGGAGTGTTAAAGAAACGATGGGTCATACTTAGAACAACAAACTTCTTTGACAAAAAGACTCAAGTTAGGATTATATAAATGCTTGTTTTATTCTTCACAATTTCGTAAGAGAAGAAAATATGGAAGAGAATGATTTGTTGTGTGAGGTGGACGAAGAGCTTGAAAATACAAATACATTTGACAGCGACAATGAGCTTGATGTTGATTACATTACAAGTGCTCGAGCAACAGATGTATGAAGTTTGTTCAGAGATGATATTGCTTTGGAGATGTTCAATGAATATCAAGCTCGGAGAGTTCGTGCATCATAATGATTTAATATTATGAAATTGTTATCTATGAAATTCAAGTTTTTCTTTATAATTCAAGTATGCATCATTCGTGTATGTGTTCAATATTGCAAAGTTTGCTCGTGTGCTATTGATTTGTTATATTATCTTCTTTTTGGCCTGTTTAATAATGTTTCTCTGACTTTATATAGGGTTTCTACTAATATGATTTTCTTCTTTTTAAGGTAATGATTAGAAAAGGTAAAGAGACTTTGCCTCCTACACAAGGAGGTAGGAAAAGGAGCTATCTTACTTGGAATTCACAAATGGACATGATACTGACGACCGTGTTTTACAAGCAACTAAACCAAGGCAATAAAGGTGGAGGGGGATTGGAAGCCTCAAGCTTATCAAGCTGTTGTTGATGAGTTAAAATCCAAATTGGGTTTGTCTATCACAGTGGATCATGTAAGGAATATGGTAAAACTTTGGAAGAAACACTATGCCATCATCACTGAAATACGGACAAAAACCAAGTTCAGATAGGACGATGATAAGAAAATGGTAGTAATTACCATTGAGGACTTGGTAGATTGGACCAAGTATTGTGAGGTATGTTGAATATTTACAACACATGTTCATAAATCTTTGTCTTAACTATGTATTTGTTTGATTTTGTCCATAATTATGTTTTTATCTGCATTTGTTTTTATCTTTACCCATGGGTACTTACTATGAACTACATAAATATATTTGCCTTACTATGTATTAGCAAATAAAGTCTAGCTTAGATTGCACTTGATGTTTAGTTGATTCTTCTTGATGATCTTAGGATGTTCGTTGGAAGTAATAAGTACATGAGGCTTTTCCACAACAAAACACTTACTGGACTTGTAAAAATTCTCTTCTTTAAAGAATGTGGGTTAATATATTCATACGAAACAAGTTCTGGTGCACCAACACCAACTTCATTCTTTCTGGAAAAAGCTCGAAGTGATGTGTACTTTCAGTTCCGTAAATCTTAGCAATGGTTGAAGGAGGGAAAGTAAGAGGAAACACGTTTACAATTTTACATGTACATATCAGTGGTTGAAGTTGAACCAAATGGTCCCAATTGGCTGCACTATAGCATAATGCATATAGGACTAATTAAAATCAATGCATGTAACTTTCCTAATTTCAATCAAATCAGTTAGGCGGACTGAGCACCTCAGTGACTGCGGCTAGGTGGCTATAGAGGAGGAGGCTAGCTAGTTAAAAGGAATGTGTATGTAACAAACAACATCAGGTGACGTGGATAGCATCATATAAAGTCCATGCTTCCTCAATGCTCAATTGGTCAGATCCACACATTATACTTGTTGATGATTGCATTGCCAAGCTATAGGATCAAATTATTCTTGTTTATCCTTACATTATACTTGCAAGTGAGCCTGCAGATTATGTTATTCATTGATGATATATAAAGCCGTGTTACTAGATTGTCTCACTATGTTTTTGTATTTTCTCATTCTTGCATAGGTAAATTCAGATGCCAAGGTATATCAAAACAAATCTATTGAGAACTGGGATGATATATGTATGTTAGTGGGCACCGATAGAGCAACTGGCAAGGGTGCATGGCAAATTGATGATTCTATTGCAACTATGGATATGGAAGATGCGAATGAAGGGGAGATCTCTAGCAGAGAGGTTTCAAAATCTTCAACTAATAAATCCAATAAGAAGCTCAAGAGAGACCCTTTAGCTAGTGCAGTAAGGGGGGGTTAGTCACCTATAACTTAAAATTGGAACTGGGATAATCTGTGGGATAAATTTTTAAGGTGTTAGTCACATAGAACTATAACTAGAACAAAATTTTATAGTGTTAGTCAAGTAGAACTCTAACAGAACTAGAATTGGGATAATGATATTATGATACAAAATTATCCTAATTTTTTATTTTTCTATACAAAAATGAGAGTTCTAGTCTCACAAATTATTCCAAGTTTTAGTTTGGAACTAGATGGTAAAAAACTAGAACTCATATTTATATTGTTATTTTTTATTTTTTATATTTATTTTTTTCTTTACTTCTTTCCTATTATGGTTATCACCATTATTAGATCATTATTATAATAATAACTGTCAATATCTTATAGTCTAACCAAAAGTTATTTAATAGTGAAGAACATTTTTGTAAGCAATTATCAATCAATAATAGTAAGTTTAAAATACATAAATAGTATTTATATCTTCAAAATGCATAAATATATATTTCATGATTATAAAAATTTATCCCACGTTATTTTATCAAAATATCCCGCTTCACAAAATTGTTTCTATTTATCCCACTGTAATATCCCACTAGCAAAAAATTTATTTCACTTTAACAATTATCCCATTTTGTATGAAAATGGCCCAATTGACTAACACCTTCTAAGTGATGTTGGTGAGATGCTTAAGGAGTATCTAGTGAGTACGAACCCATCAAAAGCTGATTGCGAGGAGATTTATGCCGAGGTATCTAAAATGAGGGGTATTCCTCCACATCAATTTTTAAGGGCGGTTAAGTGATTCATTGGTGGTTCTGCACATGATTTCCGAATGTTGAAGTTACTTCCAGACAATCAAAAGTTAATTGGATTATGTTATGTCTTGAAAACTCAGACTAAGGTAAAAAATAACTTATTAACTTTTTCATTTGCATTTAAGCTCTTGTTTGGTAGTTTTAGTTGGTGCATATCAAATATTTAAACAATATGAAGGGTTAATTGCACATAGACCCCTTATAGTAGCACACTTCATGTTTTTTCTTATTCCATTTTAACTATCTTCCCTTCAGTCATCAAATGTTTAATCACTAAAATTATTAGATCTAAACTAATCCACCACTATGGGAAAAAATCATTCCTACTTTATCCTTTTACGCTGTGGATCTGTTTTAATTTGGGTATTGCATAGCTTGTGCCCATCAATAAAATAGCATGATGTGTTACTTATAGGTTTTCCTTGCTTATGGTGATAAACTGTCTGTTAGCAATCATGTATATTGGTAAAACTTCAAACTGTGGTTGTCTTGTTTGCCTAAACTTTCACTGAGCTTTTTTGTATTCTATATCTTCTCTACTGTTGACAACATTGAGTGGCTGCTGGAACTAATGCAAGTGGCTATTACCTTATTTGTTTGTGAAGAATCAAAAGTTCATTATTATTTGTCTTTTAACTTTTATAAATGTGCAGGAATTATGGAGATGCGGTGCTGCTGAACATTCAGAAACTAAAAGCCTGGAATAGTCATCAACATTCACATGTTTCATGACATTGACGACAGTTTCATTGAAATGTTGAATGTTACTGAAATGGCTAAGTTGATGTGTTGGATATTTGTAAACTTTGAACTACTATGGCCTTCTATTATCTTGTTTCCAGCACTTATACGCATGTTAAGTTTATTTTAGACATCTTGTTTATGCTAGTTATGAAGCGGTCATATACTCAGCTAGAGTTCAGTTAGTATTATCCAGTGCTATTTCTTCGATCTCAATGGAAAAACCTACATTATCAAGTGCGTAGAAATGCATGTTATACTGATCTACTTGGCGGTACTTTGTGATACTTGCAAATTCTAGTTTAGCATATGTTCCCTTCAGCCATAAAAGTTTCTACAATAATTCTTAAGATATGTTATACTGCTCTACTATTTGAGACATTAATTCCAACAATTTCGATGCAAACCTTATATAATTTGAGTATCTTATTTTTAAATTATCTTCGAGCTACAAACTTAGTTCATAAATTAGAATTTAACTAGTTAGCAAACATCTCAATTGAAATTTTTAAGTTTAAAGTTGTAAAGTTTGTCAAACATGAATATTTTAAATTGAATTCTAGAATTCAAATTTGGATGTTTCCCAAACGAATGAATTAAATTTAAAATTGATTTTAAATTTTATAATTCAATTCTGGGATTTGAAATTAAATCCTTGAATCCAAACGCAACATTAGAGAATTCAATCATTCTATTAAAAAAAGCATATGCCAAAAAAAAAATCATTTCAGATTTCACCAGACACCAAAATTTTGATTTGTTTTAGGGCTTGTTTGGTTGGTTTCCTAAATACAAAGAAAAGGAAATCGGTATAAGGAAATTAATAAAATAATATTTTTATCCATTTCTATCATTAAAACTTACCCACAACATCTAATAAAATAATATTTTTATCCATTTCTATCATTAAAACTCACCCACAACATCCAATAAAATATTATTTTTATCCCCTAACTCATCTTACTCCATCTTCTTTCTTACCTTTAAGGGGTCGTTTGGATATTTCCTAAAAAACCAAAAAATAGAAATACAAACCAAGAAAACTCAAAAAATACAATTTCATATTTTTTCATCCCTAAAACTCACACGCAACATCTAATAAAAATATTATTTTTATCCAACAACTCATCCATCACATCTAATAAAATATTATTTTTATCCAACAACTCATCCATCATATCTAATAAAATATTATTTTTATCCAACAACTCATCCATCATATATAATAAAATATTATTTTCATCCACAACATCACTCAACTCATCTCATCTCATATTTAAAAATTACTCACATCATCCAATAAGATTGTGACAACTCATCTCATCTCATTAACATTTCATTTCTTTATTTTCCTCCCAAAAAGCTAGGAAATAATTTCCTTAAGTGTGGGTCACATTATCTAATAATATAAAGACAACTCATGTCATCTTATATATTTTCTTATTTTTAAGAAATAACCAAGCAAAAGAAAATAACCTATTACAAGAAATAGGTTTTTTATAATTTATTTCATTATTTTTTTCGCCAATCAAATAACATCAAAACAAGTTTTCTTAAAAAATCACTCACATCATCCTATAATAAGGTGACAACTCATCTTCATTTCTTTGATTTCTTTCTTTTTTTAGCAAACCAAACACTCCCAAAACAATTCTTTGATTTAATAGTTTTTCATTTCTTTGATTTTTAATTTTTTTTAGGCAAACAAACAGGCCCTAAAAATAAACCAAACACAAGAAATGTGTTACATCATCCAACTCATCACATCTCATCTTATCTAATTTTAAAGTTCACACACATCATCCAATAATATTGTGACAACTCATCTCATGAAACTTTCCTTTCAATCATTTTCCTAAAAAAAAAACAAGAAATTGATTTCCTTAAGTATGTGTCACATCATCCAATAATATATCTCCAACTCGTTACATCTCATCTATTTTCTTATTTTTAAAAATGAACCAAACACGAACAACCTCAAAACATCATCCAATAATATACCTCTAATTCATTTTCTTAGTTTTTTAACCAACCAAACAACCTCAAATCAATATTTTTTTTAAAAACCACTCACATTATCCAATAATAAGGTGACAACTCTTCTGATCTCTTCTCCTATTTTATAATTTCCTTCTTTTTTAAACCAACCAAACAACCTCAAACAATTATTATAGAAAATATGTTTCATATTCTTTGATTTTCCTAATTTTTTTTGCGAAACGAACCGCCCTAGCAACAGGCAACATCACCAAACACCACAACCTTATTTAGAGTATTAAATCTTTCTTAAAAAACACAAGCACATGCACAAAAAACTCATTTTTCAACACCAAAATAAAAAAAAAACAACCGATTTATTGAAATACAAGCACCAAATTCTTTTATTCACATGACAATCACATATTAACTCCAAATTTTGCAAATGCTCCTGTTTTTTAGTTGCACCAAATTCTCTTATTCACATGGGAAATTTACCTAAATTCGGGCAGCCCCTAACCGAGCCACCCAACATTGCAGAAAACCAACTCCTATGAGTTTCTAGAATGATGATGCAGCTTCAAATTTCGAAATCAAGCTCCAAATTTATTCTAGGCCGCTGTGATTTTGGGTGAAGTTGGTGAAATTGTAAGAAAGGAAAAATTTTAACTGTTGAGGGTTTTGTTGCATCTCGTGGGTGAATTGATTAGGGGGAAGGCAGGCATTAATTTCACTTGTTGGGGTAATTAACGCTGTCACCCAATTTCTAACATATAACTTTTGAGAAGCTTAGGGTGTTTATTTGTATAGGCATGAAAGTTGAGTGCTTTCGTGCAATTTTGGCAAACCTTAGGGCATTTTCATGTAAATTACCCATAAAATAATCACTTTAGGTATCGTTTGGCAAATGGTTAAGTGAGGGGTTAAGGTGACTACACCCCTTCTTAACCTGCCAAACACAACAAATCTATCTACCCTTTAAAAGAGCCAGTTCTTGAAAAACTTTCCCCTTCCCAAATTAAACTTCCACTATTTAAAATATACCCAACTTCTCCCTTATAAGCGTTACACAAATTTCGTCATCAGCATCGGAAATCAGAAGCCCTAAAATTTACGTCGATTATGCCTTTCTCTCCGCCGAAGAGTTCATCGGTTACCCTTCTCGTCATCCCACGATCTTCCAGTCATCAATTTGCAAAGATGAGTATTATAGCCCTAATCATCAACGCGACGCCTCCGCATTCATCTCCACAATTTTTAGAATTTTGGCATTCAGCAAGGAACGCGACGCCTCATCATTCATCTCCATAGTTTTCTGAATTTTGGCATTCAGGAAGGAATTCTACCTATGATTTGAAGAAGGTTTCTTCTTGGTCTTCACTCCTCTATACCAAACCCTAGCTCTAAGCGCTTTTTGTTCTTCAGTCCTCTCATTTTGTTCTAATTTTTCCCTAATTCTAGATTTCCTACAGTTTCAAGCGACAAGGGTTTCAATATTCGAACAACAGCTGTATCGAGATTGGAAAGTAAGTTCAGTTGAGTTGAATTCTGTTTTTTTAGGTTGTCATTTCGGTTGTGATTTCTTGCCTGAATTAGGTGATTTCATTAGACTTGGTATGATGCTTGAATTGGAAGATGTACATAGATAAAGATCTTTGTAAATGTACATAAAAATTGCTCCTTTTTATTTTTTTTAACTGATCAGGCCTTTGGCTCACCATTTTTTTTAATGTTGGGAACTAATTTATTGTTTAGTGCAATTGAGTGAGCGAGACACCAATAAGTAGAGAAATAATTTACATTCGCCAAGGTTTATGTTCTTCCTTCGTTCTATGCTTTGAATCTCTATGCTGTGAGCTAATTATTTTTAGTAATTTCAATGACATTTTCATTTACTTTAGAATGTTTGTATTATACGACAATGAATACTATGAGAAATAATTTATGCTCTGTATTACTTATAGTTTAGAACTCAAAAAACCCTTAGTAAAAGACAATGAATACTATGAGTCTACTTGATACTTTGTTGAAAACTAGCACTTTACTTCTCTGTCAATATCTGTCCATATTAGGTTATATCATAAACAGTTAGTAACTCAATAATTCCTTCCTTGCAATCTATTGAAAATACAATCCATGCTTAGCGTCCTGCAAGATGGTCAAAATTATTTCTCATAGTATCATATTTAATATTCCAGGACCTCCGGGCAATTCTTGAGGTTTTTCATGATCCATGTTTCACATAACCGTACCATCTCCGCTGATTGATTTTACTTTATTGCTGTTTCAATTGTCACGATCCAGTTTTTCCAATTAGGCTTGATCTTGTGCACTTCCACCTCTACACTCTGTTTTTTTATAAACAAAATCCTAAAATGTAGAAAATTCAGAAATACTAACAAAAACAAGAAAAGATACGAAAAGGACATTCTAACGCAAACTGTGAAGGGATATCATTGTTTAACAAGGGAAACTTGACGTACAAAGTTGCATAAGGCATCCAAGGACATTTTGCTTATTTTAACCAACACGATGCTTTATCACGGAAACACAAAACTGAAGCTCTATTCTTTACTCACATGACATACCTGCATGCTCCACTCCACTAGCATTGGCACATTGATCACACTGGATGGTCTAAATTTATTAAGGATATAATCTTCAATAAAACCCATTAGTTGGAGAGCAGCAACCGCACAGTAAGTGGCACCACATGTTACACTAGGCAGATAAATGTTGATCTACCAAATATCAGGTTCAAACTTGAGAAGCTAAAACAATCATCTGTAATCAAGAACCATAACCAAATCTAATGTCTAACATATATTAAAGAGATACGTTATTTCAATATTAGTCCCTCAAATCTTCAATATATTTCATTATGTAAGAATTTAATTTACTATTGATAACACTTGAAAATTGCTTCAGAAAAAGGACTACTTCAAATTTAAAATAATCTACCTTCAAAACTTGTAGCATATGCATACGTGAATAAATGATTGAAGTCACTTAACATATCACCAGATGATGAAAGCATAGTACTGAGAGTTATCTTGCAAAAATTGCATTTAAATACTTACCATGAGATTCGGAGCCTGGTACTAAACCAAAGACACCATCATATTGTTGGATTTAATCTAATAATTCTATTTGTGGGCACATATGATTAATAAATGTGTATTGCTATCTTTCAGGATAACCCACTAAAGTGATCAATTAAGTTGGGTTAATGGGTATTT